CCTAATTACCTCCCCTCACCCACACACAGAAAAATTAAAATTAAAAACATAATAATAATATTACTAATAACAATAAGTGATTAAACATTTACCTACCAGGCACTGCACCATCTGTTTTACATAGAATAAGTATTCTCATTTATCCTTCACAACAATCCTATGAAACAGGTACCAGTATTAGTCCCATTTTGCAGGAGGAAAGTGAGGCTCAGAGAGGTTTACTCCCTTACTCAAAGTTACACTCTAGTAAGTAGAGAAGCTAGAATCCAAGTCTAGGTTTGAGCCTCCAAAATCTCAGGTTTGACCCATAAATAGGAAACTTATTATTGCACAGAAAGGAGGAGGAAGAACAGGGGAGCAGGGGGAGCAGGAGACAATGGAGGCTGCTGTAAGGGTGGAGGGAAAGATATTCTAACTCAGAGTACAAAGGCTGAATTTCTAATTCCGGGAAACCATCCTCTCTGGTTTTTCCTCCAAATAAGACCAGGGCATGTTTTAGGTCTGATTGTCCAGCTGCATCTGCTCCCTCTGACACAGCTTGAGCCCCAGCACTTTAAGGTTGCCCTGCTAACTCCAATCTGGAGATCGTGTTCCATTTAGGCCTACATGAAGAATCTTAAGAATAACAAGTATAAATATAAACTACCAAGTTAACACAGATCATTACATAATACTTAAACTATTTAAGATGTTTAACGAACATCAGTATTAGAAGTAAGCAATGCCTCCCTAGTGAAACAGAGTCCCCCTAAAACTGAGTTCCCTTATTGAGTTTATGATTAATCTTTCTATCCAAAACTTTATTCCTTTTCTTGTGCCCTCTGATTTCAATCCTGTGCTAGTTAAACACTAATCAATCAGAGTCAGGTGGCTAAAACTGCTGTTGTTGATAACATCATTAATACACTAAAATTACTGCTGTGGATATCGCCATTAACACACAAACTCAGCTTGTTTCTCCAGTGCAAGATGAGCTAACAGACCCCAGAGCCATGGACCACCTAGCCTAAGAATCATAAACCAGAGACATCCTGATTCCCAAAACTAAGATTAAGAGATGTCACAGAAATATCACTAGATGATGATGAATCCCAGCCTCTTTGTTCTTCCACTTTAAAAAAATCGAAACAAAACCCTAACTCAAAGACCAAGGTGGACTAGATCTGAGACTTGTCTCTCACTCCCTTGCTTGGTTGCCCTGCTTACTTTGCTGCAAACACCTGCTGTCAGCATTCAGCTTTCTGCAACCCCAGCTCAAGAGCCCTTGCTAGGTTACACTTGAACTGCCTGCTCCTAGCATTTACTCAAAGACGGTTGCACCAGATTAAGATAGCAGTTTTGTAGGGAGTTTGTAGGAAAAAAAACCCATTAGTATTACCTATATACAAAAGTTAATTCTAAAATCCTAACTTTAGTTGAACAAATTATCAACCTATTTTTAGTAACAATTTAACCCCATTAATAATTGTTCAAGTGCCATCTCTACTGGTTTGTTATCCAGATTATTTCAGTTTTTCAAAGATTCCTTGAATTTGGCGAGATAGAGGAAGAAGTATTTTAAAATCCAGGCCACATGTAAGTAATGTTACAAATAATTAGATCACTTCTTCTGCTTAAGTATTTTTAAAACAGAGACATTTCCCAGCAATCCAGCGTAAAGTGAACTGGACAATAGTTCCCTTTATGATAGTTATTACCATTAAGTCTTTGCTTACAAATTACAAAACTTAGTTATCTGAAGTAAGATTTCCTAAGGCACTGGAGTCTTATGCAACTATTTCAAAAGTCCACAAGCAAGTTTTCCAAACATTATAGCCAAGACTGAGGCAAGTTAATAGAGAAATTATAATCTTGAATATAGTCAAATTGAGCATTTCTCTTGCTTTTTCAAAGATCAAAAACAGTGACTTTTAAAATACGTATTATAATGTTAATAGCTGCTTCACATATTCATTCCTACTTGAGACATTTTCTCCCAAAAGGTCAACTTATTTTGTTTTTCCTACTAGTTGTTCAAACGTTTTTGAGTTTATAAAGAATATGGAGTAACATTATTTGAGTACCTTATTTGAGCCTAGTCTGAAAGCAACCCCTAACTAGCCTAAAATTCAATAAAATACTTCATGAAGTGAACATGCAATTACAAAACTGCAGAATGAATAATTACATCGGAGAAAACACAGCATATCACTTGGCTTTAAAAAAAAGCTAAAAGAAATGAAAAATAAGAAAAGCAAATCAACAACAACAACGAAAAGAACGCATAACTTTCCTGCTGTTAATTTTCTCAACTTCTCCAATCTGGCCTTTCTTCTCCATTTTCAAAGTCCTCCGACTACACGGAACAGGATCCATTTGTTTAGCTTACTCTTTGCGGGAATACTTTATCCTGCAAATGTCCTTCTGCAAAGAGTATTACTGATTTCTACATGAAGAGTTACCGTTTTGCAGGAGCAAGAGTTCTTGCTACTCATAAGGACTTCAGAACAGTTTAGCAAGGATTTAAAAAAGGAGAAGGGGAGATCTAGTAAATTATAATGGAATAGGCCGAATCCAATCAGAAAGCCTTCTGAAATGCTATGTCCTCTTCCTCCACCCTCACCCGCCCAAAGGCAACAGAAAGCTTTTCATCCTTAACACAGGGCCAATATTCAAGCCAAAAACTTTATTTTAAACCCACTCTTAAGGGGCGAGGCAAGGTGAATAGAATGTGACTCGAGAGAGCAACAAGGCGACTAACTCCGGGTCGTGAACCTGGAAAGGCTCAAAGGACACATGCTCCAAGGAGTTAAGGCCCGATTTCTCCCCCATCCACCAAGTGGCACTGAGATTCGCTGAGTTTAGCCAACAATGCATTTGGCATTTAAAAACTCCACAAGTCTAAGCAAGCCAGAAGATGGCTTAGGGGATAGGTGGGAACGCGCGACGCAGTAGCCTCAGGAAGGCGGAGAGGAAACCTGGGGACGCGAAGGCCAAGCGCTGGGCCCGGAATGGGTTAGCGCGGACCAGGCCAGGCCTGGAGCCACGCGAGCAGCCGCAGGAGCGAGGACGGGGCGGGGGGGGGTTGGCAGTGGATCCGACTCACCTGCCCATTCACCGAGCCTGGGTCCGACCCCCTCGTCGTGACCCAAACCCCAGACCCGAAGGGCCGTGAGGAGCGAGCACGAGATGCGCAGGGCCACGTAGGCTACAGTGCCCGCGCCCACCCAGTACAGGAAGCCGGCAGCAGGCAGAGCGCTCTCCATGGCTTTCAACCAGGCCTCACTACCTCCGTAAATGAAAAAAAAATGAATGAATGAATCCAGGAAGAGGCTCCGGCCGTGACGGTGAGGACGACAGTAATAGGCGCTGCTCCTACTCTGCTTTTGGCCCAAACCCCGCCCAAGGCACCATATTCGTGCCGCCATTGGTGATCTATCGTTCTCTCTGCGCGTAGTGCGTCAGCCATTGGCTAACTCTAGTTTCTCTGGCCCGCCCATTACCCCCATTGCTGTCACTCAGCCGCGTTTCCGTTCTAAGGCAGTGGATCTCTCACCTGCCAATCAAGCTTCAGCCTAGCCCAACACGTCACCACGCCCCCAGGATTCCGCCAGAGGGCGGTACCTCTCACCCCACCAAGTCGTCCAGGTCTCTCATTGGCTGAAGTGGTCCTCGCGACGACGGAAGATTGCGCTCCGATTGGCCAATCAGACCCAATTTGGTTTGAGCTCGAGTTTGAAGAGGGAATGGGATCGGAGACGCCACTACGGAGTGGGAAGATTGTAGTCAGAAGCGGACGTGGAGCCATGGTTTTATTTTCACATCTTTATTAAACAGTTCTGTATGATTGTTAAGTGCGCTGTCATTGTTTCCATAAACTTTCCAGATAAAGGCTTGCATCTCCTGTGTTTGTTCCCCACAACACGCCTTCGGTCCAGTTATACATCGTAAGGAGGGCCTTCTGTCAGGCTTCCCTCCCGCGCTGTGCATTAAACAAGCTCCCAATGCCTTGGATTTAAAGGCAAATAACTTAATGGAGTCAAATGACTCTAACACACAATAGCATAAAAACCAAAAAATAAATATATTATGGGAATACAGCTTAATGAACAATTAGTTTGAGGAAGGACTCCATGTTTTAAGTGGATCTTAAAGTACTATAGAGATTTTTCTTTTTAATTTCCTTTTTTTTTTTTTTGCGGGGATAGGGGTGGAGGAGCTTGCAAGGGGGCACAAAAGTTTACAGTCCAAGTGGAGGTATGAAAACCACCTCAGCCAAGTTCCAGACGAGTAAGACCACAATGTAGGTTGAAGAAATTGTGTAATGCTAACAAGTGCTTCACACTTACTCTAATCCTCCCTTCAGGAGTTCCTGTTTCCTTTTCTGGCAATGGGTTTGGGATCATATAAGATAACTAAAGTTTTTCTTAGCCAGTAGGTGCTGCTGGTTCAAGACTTGAGAGTTTTTTAAAAGGCAGAAACTTGAGGATAATAATTCTAAGGGTCAACAGTTCAACCTTGAATCTAAAGTCATAATTTATAATATTTAGTTTAAGAGCCTTATCTCTCCCTGCCCAATCCCCTCCCTTTTTCTCTACTCCCTCTTATAGGATTAATTAGATATAACCCCAAGACTGTTACTGTTCTTCATAAACTGTCAATTGTTCAGCAGAATTCAGTCATGTGAGTTGATCTGGCACTATATTTTGGTTTAATTGGACTCACCACTTGTCTCCCTGAAGCCTGTTAATGGGGTTTGTTCTCCATGAAACAACAGAGTGTTGTTTTTTTCTTAATTGAAGTATATCTGATTGGCAATGCTGTGTTAGTTTCTGAACAGCATACTGGTTCAGTTATACATATATATATATATACACATACACATATATTCTTTTTCATTATAGGCTATTATAAGATATTGAATATAATTCTCCATGCTATACAGTAGGACCTGATTGTTTATCTATAGAGTGTTTTTTCTTTAAAGTAAATTAGATATCATTTCTTTAGCTCAAATCCCTTCAAGAACTTTATATCACATTAAAAACAAAATCCTCCGATGCTAGTTTATCTGCCCTGACCTCTCCAGCAGCATCAACTGTCTTCTGCTGTGCTCACTTGATTCCAGCTACACTTTTTTTTTTTAATTGAGGTACTGGGGATTGAAGCCAGGACCTCGCACATGCTAAGCATGGGCTCTACCACTGAGCTATTACCTCCCCCACCTGCCAGCCACACTTTTTGCAGTTCCTCAAATAAATCAAGTTTATTCCAGTCTCAAAGCAGTTCTACTTTCTTGTTCCCTCTCCCTGGAATTTCCTACTATTTCCCAAGACTCATTCCTTTACATTATTTAGGTTTTTGCTTATATATCCTCCCACTTAAGAGTGGTTTTTACTGACAGTACTACATGAATAGATCAAATAACCTCATCTCCTTTGCCCTGTCACTGCTTATCCTTTTACCCTAATTTGTTTTCCTTATAATACTAATGCTTTCAAATTATTTAATTTTTGTCCATCTTCCCAATAGAACGTAAGTTCATGAGGACAGTGACTTTTCTTGTTCACCATTGTATCTTAACCTAAGATGTGAATCTAAGGGGACCTAATACTTAGTAGGTATTCAGTAAATACCTGTTGAATGAATAAACAATGAATAAATAAATAAAAATAGTCTAGTAGGAGAGACAGACATTAAGCAAACATCCAACTAATTGCATGATAAAAATTGTAATAAGTAGAAAGACGAAAATAATAGGTTTAAGAGGACAGAGAGAGAACCTAATTTAGATGAGGAAAGGAGACTGTAAGGCCTTTCTAAAGAAATGACATTTGAACTGGGGTCTAAGGATAAGCAGAAATTAATTTGGCAAAGAGTAGAGTGGTGTAGAGGAGAGAAAGAGCAACAAATCCCAGTTAATTGTTTGTTGTGGTTTTGAAGAACATACAAATATGCCTCTAGCACCTACCATAGCATCTGATGTAAAATTAAACAGGCATTAAAAAATAATTGTTGTTTTTTTAATAAATAAGAACAGGTACTATAGAAATACACTTTCCACTGCTGTTAGAATTCATATTAAGTATGTTATTTTAACTCAAGGAATATTGAAGATTGAAACCATCTCATTTTGGTATCCACTTTTTTTCTGTGATTCTGGGCACTAATCATTCAGTTAACAGGAATAATCTTTATTAAAAATACACACATTTAGGGGGAGGGTATAGCTCAAGTGGTAGAGCACTTGCTTAGCATGCATGAGGTCCTGGGTTCAAGCCACAGTACCTCCTCTAAAAATAAATAAACCTAGTTACCTCCCCCCACCAAAATAAAAAAAATAATAATTAAATAATAAATAAAACAGAAAGCTATTTAAAAAAAATTGGTGAACTAATAAAATGAACTAATTAAAAAAAAACACACATTTATTTTGATCACCTTAGCTTCTTTTTAGGAATATTAACTATTCTATTGACTTAAAAAAAAAAAACAGAGGCCTCACAGAGTAAAGTGGTATGTGCCAGAGTTAAGCCCTTTCTCATTCAGACAGTTACACACTTTTAGAATTGAACAACGATCCTTCATTCCTGGATAAACTTTATAAACCACTGTAAACAGTAATACATACAGGAACCCATGATGGTCTGCTCCTACTCAGCAGCATTTTGTGCTAAAATTTAACATATAGAGCACAGTTCCCAGAGATTGGCAGAGCCATGCTGCCAAACATGAAAACCTTAATTGCTCTCCAAAGAGGGAGCAATACTGCAAAATTTTGCACTTTGGTGTTAGGGAAACCTGGGACCAGATCTCGCTTCTACCTCTTATTACTTGTATAATTTGGGGTGGATTTAGCTACTAAGCATTCAAATTCTACATCTGTAAAATTGGACAATACTACTTAAGCATTTAGCAGTGCTTGGCACAGAGATATTAAGTGTTCAGTGAGGTAGGTACTAATATCCATTTTACAGATGAGGAAAGTGAGGCTTAAAACATTTAAGTAACTTTCCTGTGGACACAGAGAAAGTAAGTGGAGAACTGGGATTTCAATTAAAAAGATGTGGTTATGAAATCATTTCTCAATAACTAGATCAGAGAAGGCAGCATTTAAAAAATGCTTAAGGGAGAGTAGAACTGTCTGTAGAAGTATTTAGTTGTCACACAAATAACATATTCAGACACAACCACATTGGATTCCATTTTCATTTATTTAAAAGATTTAGAGTTCAAAATAATCTTTCATGTGGAAAAATATGAATCAACAAAATTACAGCATATTAATATACAAATGTTCCCATTTAATTTTAATTTTATTTGCAGTATTTCTGTGAATTGAGTTTCAGGTCAGATTTTCATGATGAAATCAGACATAGTTCAATATAATGAAACAAAATTCCATAATTAGAAAATTGCATAGAAGCTAGTAATTTTTAAGAATACATTACAATATAGTTGAATCTTTCATTTGGCTGTATAATAAAACTTACATGTTTATAACAGTTCCATCTTCTTCTATGTCATCTTCGTGTAAACATAGTTCAAAATATTACACTTAATTTCTCCTTTAAGTTCAGTTGAAAGGTGTTCAATTTCTGTTTAAAAAAAAATAGTGCCATAATAAACAAACCTTTGACATTAGAAACTAGGTTTCCAAAAAGTTAAAATTTAATTTCTTCAACAAACAATATTACCATAAGATAAGAACATTAACATTTATTATGCTTCAATACTACATTATTATCTTCGAAGTGACTTCACTAACATTATCCATTCAAACATCACAATAGCACCCTCATTTTTCCAACAAGGAAACAAACTCTTTGAGATGAACTTCTTGCCTAAGAACCATTCTGGTGCAATAGGCCTGTTTCTAGAACCAAGGTGCCTGCACTAAAAATCCAGGGCTCTTTCTACCCTATCACTCACTTTATAAATAAAGAACTTATACTCACATTTCATGCAACATTCTGTAAACATATAAAAACTAAACCAATCATTTTGAAACAAGTGATTTATAGTTTTCCTATTTTATTTTTTAGTTTCAAAAGCTCACAGAAGTATATAAAATGAAAAAGTCTCTCACCTTTTTTCCTATTCCCACTAATTGTAGCTGGCAATTTGAAGTGCATTCTTCCATTTCTTTTTCTATGTCAGTATAAAGCTATATGATATCTACAACAAACATACCTTTGTTTTTTTTTTAAGTAAAAGCTGTGAGGAGGTCTCCAAGATGGTGGAGTAGGAAGATTCTAAACCTACCTCTTGCCAAGGACACACCAAAGTTACAACTACTTACAGAGCAACTATATTAGAACAACCTGAGGACTAGTAAAAAAGATTTTTCACAACTAAAGAAATAAAGAAGGAACCACAGTGAAACAGGTAGGAGGGGTGGAGACACAATATAGTAAAG